TATGTCAGAGAAGTAGAACGCAATACCTGGTGGTGATAATCCTCCTCCTCCACATCTATCCTCTTGCCAAGGTCAGCAAACTCACTCTCTTCTCTTCCCAGAGGATCCCCACTTTGAGAACTGAAATGCAATTCACGTTCTYGGCTTGTCAACACAAATCTTCTTAACTCTTTTTTGGAATGAATTTTCCTGCTTCGTTTTACAGCAGATTCTACAAAGGGTCTTGTTGGGAAGACAGGTGGTTTGGTGGGATGGTCGACCGGAGCAAGAACCCTGGCTTGGTSTATTGGGTCCTTCCATGGGAATGCTTGAGTGTCACGAGGAATGAATTGAGAGAAATCAGGATCTTTTGGTCGGTGTATTCTGTGGAAGTTTAAATCAGTATCAAATGATTAGCAAATGAGAAGAAAAGTAGTAGGGAAAAGTAGGAGAGGAGAGAGAGAGAAGGGAAGTGAAGGGAAGGGAAGACTAGAGGACAGGACAGGAGAGTGCCAAAATTGTTGTCTCATACTCACAACTCACCTCTTCGGCTTTCTTTTTGCTTGTTTTGTCAGAAGAAAAGCAATAGGGAAAAGTAGGAGAGGAGAGAGAGAGAAGGGAAGTGAAGGGAAGAGAAGACTAAAGGACAGGACAGGAGAGTGCCATGTTGTCTCATACTCACAACTCACCTCTTTGGTATTCTTTTTGCTTGTTTTGTCTTTTCTTGAAAACTCCTTGAACAAGAAAAAGAGTCACGAGTATTAAATCAATCTATGATGATGTTTATTCATCTTCAATTGATGAATCTACTTTTAAACATTGAGTTATTCAAACTACAAGTACWTACATAATTTTGAATGGCCAAGTTTCTGGCCACTCCACCACATAATTAATATTCCGTTCATCAAAGGCCAGCGTCCTTCTGTTGTATCCAAATGGGTTGATATTGATATCAATCTTGTCTTTGTCCTGAAATAAACCACTACAATCTTTAGTAATTAAAGAAAATGTGGTGTGCTTAGATAATACGCCACTGACTAAACCCRGGGGAAGGGGGGTACTCCCCTATATTCGCTATACGGGTACATGCCGCCAAACAGGGTATAGTTTTTAGCGATTCTACTCTGGAACAGGGTATATAAAATCACGCTCGCTCTGGGACAGGGTATATGAAATCAYGCTCACTACTCTCTGGAACAGGGTACTGTATCTATTTTCGCAATACTGGAACAGGGTTTTGTTTTCAGCGATCTTGCTCTGGAACAGGGTATGAATTTCAGAGATTTTACTCTGGAACAGGGCCAGAATTCAGAGGGCTCAGGGACACATCCCTACCCTAAACGGGCAAGAGTACCCCCCCCCCCCCGGGACAAAACGTGGGTTGGAACTCCAGAAACATCATCACATATAAGTAGAGTTGCTTGTTGGTTTTCTCCTGTGCTTATCAAGGGTTTTTCTCAACTTTTAAATTCCAATTTGATAATGGAAATGAAGACCRCAGGTTTGTTAGCCACTGGTTGTCAAGTACTACTCTCATAAGATAAGGGTGATTTTTTTATTTTCTTTCAATCTTCAATTAATACTCCTCCTTCTCCTAGTCCTCCTCCTCCTCTTCCTTATCTTCCTCCTCCTTCAATTCTTCTCCTCCTCCTCCTCTTCCTTATCATCCTGCTCCTTCAATTCTTCTCATCCTCCTCCTCCTTATCTTCCTGCTCCTTCAATTCTTCTCATCCCCCACCTCCTCCCTTTATACTTTTCCAGCCTATATTTGATATTTGGGGCAAATGTCGAATAACGAGACTTACAAATTGAGTGTCAGGAATGGTGTATGGCAGGTTGATCCTGTCATCATGTCTGTCTATGCTGCGTGCTAATGGTTGGGATATTTGATCCGCAGCTTCTGGTAACCTATGGGGAATCTTTTTCGTCCTAGCCGGTCTTTTTACGGAGAAGTGATGTTGATCAGTTAGCTCTCCTGCTGTGATCCTGAAATATTGAGTAGCAATTAAAGCAGATTTTTYTGTACTCCATTCAGTAATAAAGTACACAGAAAGTGATGGAAGCAAGTAGGCAAGCTCTACTCACTCTTCTTGAGTGCTTGCATTGCTCCCTTATTACTGAATGGAGCACAGAAAAAGCTGTTTTATTCGTTTTATTATATACTTATTTTAGTTACTAATTTTATTTTGGTACTGAATTTATTTACATAAAAAGCAAGAAAAAAGAGTTCACAGGATCTAGTAGAACTTTAAGTGAGCAGGTGGTKTCAGTACTGTGCTCCATTCACTAATAAAGAACAGTTTTTGACCWATCAGCAATCAGTAATAAAAATAACGCATGTTCTGAAATGGRAAAAGTTATAAAGGAGTGGGAAGGGGGTAGAACAGGGGAATGATGGCTTTACTGAGATTCTCAATATYCTGTGAACTCAGACATTTCAATGYCTTGTTGTGAAATGGGTTTTTGCACTGTCTTTAGTCCAAAAATCTAAAAACGATTATTTTTAATTGATGGCAGCGAAAACCAATTTTCAGCATGCAGTTTGCATCTACCAAATTAACAGAATATTGAAATCTGCATTAATTTTACCTATCTTGTGCCTTTTTTCTYGCAGCCTTTAGATTAGGAAAAAAATCCTTTTTGTAAACATCGTCTTGCAGATTGGGTGAGCTTCCTGGCAAACAATTCAAATACAATTCAATTAAAATAAACTGAAAGAAAAGGAACTTGATTTTGTTTTGAACTGAAATTTACATATCATTTAAATCTGAATGAGCATGTGATGATAAAATCTTGAATTGGGAAGCCTGTGTTGTTTT